AAGGAGGCAAAGGCATTATGGAGCTATGAGGTGGGGGAAAGAGGAGGGGGAAGTTTTCTAACCTTTTTCCCTGAACAGCAGCTGTGTGGCATAGTTCAGATCCCCTAACTGGAGGCAATTGTAATAAAAAGGATTTGAGGATCATCAGAAATCCCATCTAAAACCTGTATGTATATAGCTGGAAGGAAGACTTTTGTCCTTTTTTGGGGCAGTTGTAGCAAAATTATGTGGCTGTGGATTAAAATAGTAATTTTAAGTGTATGCAAACCCCAACAATGAACATCTCTTATTTGCTTGCTTTTGGCCCTGCCCAGAACCCTTCTGTGAACTACATAACATCTCCCTTCTAGGTTATAAAGAGGGGAGGTATTCTGTAGTACTGTCCTAGGGTGACAACGCCTCTTTTTATAAAGTAGAGCGAGTGAGCGTTGCCACCCCAGGACGGAAATGTGTTTAAAGGCAAAAACACCAGGTGAAAATAAAGGAAAAAAGTCTGACAAAAAAAATGTAAACCGATGCAGCTGTCATATCTGGAAAGCTACAATATATTCTATTTGTGTCCTTGAGATACACTTATTATTTAGAAGGAAATTTGTCAGTAGAGATGCACTGATAGCAGTTTTTCGGTATCGAATGCCGTATTTGTTTTCCCACCGGTATTCGCCGAGTACCGGTGCCGTGTGTCCAGATTATCAGGAATAAGCAGGCTTCGTGATTGACTGTGAAGCCGGTGTTCTAGCGAAAGAACACCGGCTTCACTTGCCGAGGCATGAGGTACCGTCTGGCTTCCTAATTGGTATGAAGCCAGGCTGCTTACCAACAAGCATTGACCCGCCTTCCAGTTTCCTGATTGGCTAGGAAGCCAGCCTCACTTGTTTCTAGGCAGCCTGGCTTCCTTACCAATCAAGAAGGCAGGAGGCGGGCCATTACATTGCACCTTTCTTCCTTATTGGTTAGGAAGCCAGGCTGCCTAGCAACAAGTGAAGCTGGCTTCATAGCCAATCAGGAAGCCGAGAGGCGGGTTATAACCCACCACCCAGCTTCCTGATTGGAAGGGAATCTGGCTCCATGCTCCCTCTGACCGGAAGTTCCAGTATCGGAGGTAAGTATCGGAGCATTTGGGCGAGCTCAAATACTCGGTAGCGACACAGATACTAGTATCAGTGCATCCCTACTTGTCAGACACGAAACCTTGGGCTTCCAGTGTTGACTTCTCATTCTGCAAATGCTTTTTGCTTGGCTGTCATACTGACCCTCTGGCTGCAACATGTTAAGCCTCTGTAGGACTTTGCTCTGACATTCCTCATCCTCTTGTATTGACGCCTAAGGATCAACATAGCAGCTGGGCAACTAGCACTTTCAGAAGGAGGTCAGCGGTGCTTGCTCCTATATTTCTTTAAGGAATCATTTACTTTAATAGCATTAGATTAGAAATGACCTTGTGAAGTAACACGTGTTCTGTCAACTGGATTTTCTTTTCATCGGTCTTTTGTGATTTCAGTTTGAGGTATCACAACCTGAACCCGGAGTACATACACAGCCGGCTGAAGACGTTGGGCCAGGCCTATGCCCTGCGGGTCCTCTTGGTGCAAGTCGATGTGGTCAGTGCTCGGTACTTGTGTAAAACTCTTCTGTTTGTGCTCTGTTCTTAGGAGAGATTTGACTGGTCAATATTTCTGTTCTGTTTTACAGAAAGACCCCCATTTCACACTAAAGGAATTGGCTAAAATCTGCATCCTCTCCGACCTCACCCTGATATTGAGCTGGAGGTGAAACACAAAAATCCTGATTCCTTAAGCACAGTTTTTCAGGATTTACATTTTTACTGATAAGCTCTCTGCTCTCTCTCTCGTTCTCTCCCTCTCTCGTTCTCTCCCTCTCTCTCGTTCTCCCTCTCTCTCGTTCCCTCTCTCTCTCGTTCCCTCTCTCTCTCGTTCCCTCTCTCTCTCTCTCTCTCTCGTTCCCTCTCTCTCGTTCCCTCTCTCTCTCTCTTGTTCCCTCTCTCTCTCTCTTTCCCTCTCTCTCTTGTTCCCTCTCTCTCTCTCTCTCTCTCGTTCCCTCTCTCTCGTTCCCTCTCTCTCTCTCTCTCGTTCCCTCTCTCTCTCTCTCGCTCCCTCTCTCTCTCTCTCTTTCCCTCTCTCTCTCTCTCGTTCCCTCTCTCTCTCTCTCGTTCCCTCTCTCTCTCTCGTTCCCTCTCTCTCTCTCAACTTTAATCACACTGTGCCTATTTCTTTCAGTCCAGATGAGGCAGCCCGCTACCTGGAGACCTACAAGTGTTATGAGCAAAAGCCAGCCGATGCACTGAAGGAGAGGACTGAAAGTGATTTCATGTCCAAGGTGAGAATGGAGAAGCGTGTGTACTGTATGTTTGTCTATGCATCGGGCAGGATCCCTGGTTTGGGTCTGGGATTCTGGCACTGGTAGTTGTTGTATTGGGTTTTTGGTTCTAAAAAGAAGCTATAACCAAATTCCGAATCGTATACCTTAACATTTTACCTGACCCTCACACTAACCCCTGCCACCCTGTTTGCCTGGCAGAACTCTGAGTTTGACATGTGACAGTGTTCAGGTTGGCTGTTCAGTTCCGAGTACTACATCCTAGTAAGAATGAGACGGTTACATACTTCCCCCATAACTGGAAGTACTGAGTATTTATTCTGAATGGGCAAAGTGATCGGTTCCTTTTATCCTTAAAGCTGATCTCCAACTTTACCTTCAGTCTTGCACAGTTGTACCGGCTCCTCTCCTGTACTGAAAGTGTTTATTCTGATTTCACTGAACACTTTGAGCTTCTCACAGACCGAGCCATCTTATTTCCCGGCTCTAGGTCATCCAGCATCAGCTAGTGCTTTCCTCTCCAACTTAATGTCCCTGCCTTTTATACATTGGATTTCAGTTCTTTTAGTCATGGAGGGTCAGCATTACCTGGAGCAGTCTGCCTGCAAATGCACCTCCCGACTGATGTCCACCCATCAAGGCTTTTTTAATACGTGCCTAACTCCTAACAGTCAGCCAGCTCCTTTGAAAGGAGTACTGAGACAGGGTGCTGTGATGTTTTCAGGAAGTTATATATTCAGCATCCTTCTAGCCTGGCTTCATTTCATCGAGAAGCACAGAGACCCAGTGATGACATCACTGGGTCTGCAATAAGGTATGTAATGGAAAAAAAGTAGTTTTTATTTAATAACATATTAGCAGGTTGATGATGGGGGAGGGGGCAATGGAAGCCAAAGTATAAGATTACATTTCCGATAAAGCTTCTAGTCTTTTTAATGCTCCCTCAGTTAAACACATAAATGAAATGTGTGTCATGTAAAGGATTGTCTGCAATACAACATACCAGGTAATGCACTCTATACAGGTGAAACTCGAATAATTAGAATATTGTGCAAAGTTCATTTATTTCACTAATGCAACTTAAAAGGTGAAACTAATATAAGAGATAGACTCATTACATGCAAAGCAAGATAATTCAAGCCGTGATTTGTCATAATTGTGATGATTATGGCTTACAGCTCATGAAATCCCCAAGAACCCCAAATCCACAACCTCAAAAAAGTAGATTATTACATGCAATCAATAAAACAAGGATTGTACATAGAACAATATCGGACCTCTGAAAAGTACAAGCATGCATATGTACTCAGTACTTGGTTTGGGCCGATTTGCAGCACTTACTGCAATTACTTTTGCACAATATTCTAATTATTCGAGTTTCACCTGTATATGCTTAGCAATGCATTACAATATATTCCTAAGGGCCCATTCACACCTATTGCGATGTGTTCCAGAGCGGTAGCTGCTGGAACGCACAGCAATCACTCAGTAAACTTCCCTCTCTGATCTGGGGTGGGAGGGGGCGTGGCGGTGCATTGAAATCAAAGGATATTCAGGGGTGTGGAAATTTTTGAAAAAACTACTTGTCCAAGGGCTAAAGCGGGGGCCAAATCTACTTGTCCTTCATAACAATCTACTTGTCCCAATACAAAAAAAAATAGTTTTAATTATGAGCATTTGGGCGAGTACAAGTACTTGCCCAAAAACTCTGTATATGTGCATCCCTAATCAAAACTGTATTGGTCTGTGCTAAATAGCGCTTCTCCCCAGACCACGCTGACCAATGAGTGCTTGCAATTTGCGAGCGAAATTCAAAATGCATAGGGCAGGACTGCGATGCACAGTACGGGGTAAGGACAGTACACCTGTACCGGCGGAGGGTAAGGACTGTTTGCCGAAAGGTAAGTATAGCTGGGGGGTTTTGGGAGAGACAGGGGCCAGATTTGATCGGGTAATTCCATTTTCCCATATTACCTGGGAAAGTGAACTTGCCCTTTAATGCACATTGTGCGTGTGGGAGAGTTCTGCTGCCTCGCTGCCACAATACGGCACAGTGAAATAGCGGCAGCACTCAACGCACACACAATGTCCCTCACTTCTATTGTCATGGTAAACAACCTGCTTCCCTATTTATAATGGTCTGGCCCTCTAGCAACTTCAGCGCAAATTATAGCTAATTATAGCTAATTTGCCTGTAAACGTCAGGTGGTCATAATAATCTGGCCACTCAGTGTACTGCTGCCTTCAGGAGGTTGGGAAGCTGCCAAACAAAAGGACCATTAAGCCAACCCCCCAATATCCTCGTCTCTAACCGTCATGCCTCAGTTTTTTGCTAGTGTTCTAGGAGGTTGGACACTACCTACATTTTTGCAATTTTTTTTCTCTTCTGTCAACATTCCTGGTACTTTGCGTATACTTTTTCTCATCAGTCCAGACTTTTATTAAGCGAACTTGAGCTGATCTCTACACAGCAGATATCTGGATAGGGCCATCTTTGGCACTGCCATGGTGGCCATACCCGGAACCTACTGGACTTTACACGCTGGGGCTGCCTGAAATGTGACCTTCGGGCACTGGAGCCCAGCTGCACTTTCCAGACCAGTGTGCTGTGCTGGTCTTCAGGTCTAGTGCCATGGCACTACCTTGGTGTGACCCTGTCTAAATTGAGTGGCCTTTGGGCATTGGGCTGTGCCTCTGGCGCTTTTTCAGACCTTATGTGTACAGTGTCAGTTATCAACAGAGCCATTTCATTAGATTGGTGTAACCTGGACTCTGATGGCTCTCTGTGTGTGGGGGGGGGGGGTTTCTAAAGGCTCAGTTACGA